GCCATTAGACAATATAATATAATTCAATTCTTGGAGCCATGTCAGTTTGATGTTATCAGAACAGGTCGCATGTACAATGTAGAAATTGTTATTGCATGATTTAACGCAGATTTTGCATTATACTTAAATTAAATTGAAGTTCTTGTATCCCAGTGTTTTATCAATGAATACGTGTTCAAACACACTCATAGATTACAGTTACATAACAAGAGCACCGCTAGGCGGAGCATTATATGCTCGAAAGTTTTTTGTTTTTTTTAGTAAGGATGAAGCATTTGTAAGACATGAGAATTAAATAAAGTATTATCTCCTTCAAATAGCGATCCTCCTATGAACTTTGAATATTGTGGGCCAAATGGAACTTAAGTTACGCTCCGGAAACTGTTTTCAGTTTTAAGGTGATAGTGACCTTGACCTTGTGACCTCAAAATCAATAGGGGTCTTCTACCTTATATGCACAATCATCCTATGAAGTTTGAACACTGTGGGCCAAATGGAACTTAAGTTATGCTCCGGAAAGTGTTTTCAGTTTTAAGGTGATAGTGACCGTGACCTTTGACCTTGTGACCTCAAAATCAATAGGGGTCTTCTACCCAATATGGACAATCATCCTATGAAGTTTGAATATTGTGGGCCAAATGGAACTTAAGTTATGCTCCGGAAACCAAATGGCTAACGGACGGACGGACGTTCGGTCGAAATGGAATTATGAAGGGGCCATTTCTTTTGTTATTTTCTATTGTTTAATAGAGGACCGATGGCCCCTTATTCTATTGTTATGGAATGAATTCTATTGTTCTCTTTTGTTCTGTTTACAGTTAGATGGCCCCCTATCCCTATTCAGTAGTGCGGACGGACAGACGGACGGACGCCAGGGGGTATAACATAAAAAGGACATATATATATAAAATAACAGTTTAACAAATTAAAATATCATTTCATATAAGTAATAAATTAGATAAATTAAGTTAATGACTGAAATCAGATGAGGCATTGGATAAAATTATTAAAAAAAAAAAAATCACTTAGGCAATCATCCTATGAAGTTTGAACAGACTGTAAGCCAAATGGAACTTGTGTTATGCTCCATAAACCACAATTTTCAGTGTTAAGGTCATTGTGACCTTATGGACCTGAAATCAATAGGGGTCATGTATTGGACATGGCTTTCATCCTATAAAATTTTACAGCTGTAGGTTAATTAATACTTAAGTTATTGAGCGAAAACCATTTTCAGTTTTAAGGTAAAAGTGACTTGACCTTTGACCTTGTAACCCCAAAATCAATAGGGGTCTTCTACTCAATATTGACAATAATCCTATGAAGTTTGAACACTTTGGGCCAAATGGAACTTAAGTTATGCTCCAGAAACCACAATTTTCAGTGTAAAGATCATTGTGACCCCGACCTTTGACCTTATGACCCTAAAATCAATATGGGTCATGTATTGGACATGGCTGTACATCCTATCAATTTTTTTAGCTGTAAGTTGATTAATACTTAAGATATGCTCCAGAAACTGTTTTCAGTTATAAGGTAATAGTGACCTTGACCTTTGTGACCCCAAAATCAATAGGGGTCTTCTACCCAATATGGAAAGTCATCCTATGCAGTTTGAATATTGTTGGCGAAATGGAACTTAAGTTATGCTCCTGAAACCAAATTGCTAAGGGACAGACGCCAGGGGTATAACATAATATGCCCAAAACTCTTTCGGGCATATAATAAAACTATTACCAAATAATAACAAGATATGTTTGTAAAACATGTATGCCCCCTATCAGCAGCCAATTATTCATGTGATAAGGTAATTATGCATGACTTCTGACCCAGTGATCAAACAATTAATAAGGGTTATCAAGTATCTACTGGTCATGACCTTGACCTTTGACCCTTGACCCAAAACTCAATAGGGGTCATCTGCTGGTCAAGACAAATCATCATACAAAGTTTGAAGTTCCTAGGCCTAAGCGTTTTTACTTAATTGATTCAGAAAACCGTTTTTTACTTACAAGGTCAATGTGACCTTGACCTTTGACCCTTGACCCCAAAATCAATAGGGGTCATTTGCTGGTCATGACTAATCACCATGCCAAGTTTGAAGTTCCTAGGCCTAAGGGTTCTTTTATTATTGATCCGAAACCGTTTTTAACATACAAGGTCAATGTGACCTTGACCTTTGACCCCAAAATCAATAGGGGTCATCTGCTGATCATGACCAATCACTATGCCAAGTTTTGAAGTTCCTAGGCAATAGTGTTCTTTAGTTATTGATCAGAAACCGTTTTTTACTTACAAGGTCAATGTGACCTTGACCTTTGACCCCTTGATCCCAAAAATCAAAAGGGGTAATCTGCTGGTCATGAAAAATCACCATACCAAGTTTGAAGTTTCCTAGGCCTAAGCGTTCTTAAGTTATTGATCAGAAACCGTTTTTTACTTACAAGGTTGATGTACCTTGACCTTTGACCCCTTGACCCAAAACTCAATAGGGGTCATCTGCTGGTCACCACCAATCATCATACAAAGTTTGAAGTTCCTAGGCCTAAGCGTTTTTAGTTAATTGATCGGAAACCGTTTTTACCTACAAGGTCAATGTTACATGACCTTTGACCCCTTGACCCTAAAAACAATAGGTCATCTGCTGGTCATGACCAATCACCATACCAAGTTTGAAGTTCCTAGGCCTAAGGGTTCTTAAGTTATTGATCGGAAAGCATTTTTACCTACAAGGTCAATGTGACCTTTCCCTTTGACCCCTTAACCCAAAATCAGTAGGGGTCATCTGCTGGTCATGACCAATCACCATACCAAGTTTGAAGTTCCTAGGCCTAAGGGTTCTTTAGTTATTGATCGGAAACTGCTTTTTACCTAAGAGGTCAATGTGACCTTGACCTTTGACCCCTTGACCCCAAAATCAATAGGGGTCATCTACTGATCATGACCAATCACCATACCAAGTTTGAAGTTCCTAGGCCTAAGGGTTCTTTAGTTATTGATCCAAAACTGTTTTTACCTAAGAGGTCAATGTGACCTTGACCTTTGACCCCTTGACCCCAAAATCAAATAGGGGTCATCTACTGATCATGACCAATCACCATATCAAGTTTGTAGTCCCTAGGCCTAAGGGTTCTTTCGTTATTGATCGGAAACCGTTTTTACCTACAAGGTCAATGTGACCTTGACCTTTGACCCCTTAACTCCAAAATCAATAGGGGTCATCTACTGATCATGACCAATCACCATATCAAGTTTGAAGTCCCTAGGCCTAAGGGTTCTTTCGTTATTGATCGGAAACTGTTTTTACCTACAAGGTCAATGTGACCTTGACCTTTGACCACTTAACCCCAAAATCAATAGGGGTCATCTGCTGGTCATAACCAATCACCATACCAAGTTTGAAGTTCCTAGGCCTAAGGGTTCTTTTGTTATTGATCGGAAACCGTTTTTACCAAAGAGGTCAATGTGACCTTGACCTTTGACCCCTTGACCCCAAAATCGTTAGGGGTCATCTACTGATCATGACCAATCACCATACCAAGTTTGAAGTTCCTAGGCCTTAAGGTTCTTTACTTATTGATCAGAAACCGTTTTTGCTTACAAGGTCAATGTGACCTTGACCTTTGACCCCTTGACCCCAAAATCAATAGGGGTCATCTACTGATCATGACCAATCACCATACCAAGTTTGAAGTTCCTAGGCCTAAGGGTTCTTTAGTTATTGATCCGAACTGTTTTTACCTAAGAGGTCAATGTGACCTTGACCTTTGACCCCTTGACCCCAAAATCAATAGGGGTCATCTACTGATCATGACCAATCACCATATCAAGTTTGTAGTCCCTAGGCCTAAGGGTTCTTTCGTTATTGATCGGAAACCGTTTTTACCTACAAGGTCAATGTGACCTTGACCTTTGACCCTTAACTCCGAAATCAATAGGGGTCATCTACTGATCATGACCAATCACCATATCAAGTTTGAAGTCCCTAGGCCTAAGGGTTCTTTCGTTATTGATCGGAAACCGTTTTTACCTACAAGGTCAATGTGACCTTGACCTTTGACCACTTAAACCCCAAAATCAATAGGGGTCATCTGCTGGTCATAACCAATCACCATACCAAGTTTGAAGTTCCTAGGCCTAAGGGTTCTTTTGTTATTGATCGGAAACCGTTTTTTTACCAAAGAGGTCAATGTGACCTTGACCTTTGACCCCTTGACCCAAAACTCAATAGGGGCATCTACTGATCATGACCAATCACCATACCAAGTTTGAAGTTCCTAGGCCTTAAGGTTCTTTACTTATTGATCGGAAACCGTTTTTGCTTACAAGGTCAATGTGACCTTGACCTTTGACCCCTTGACCCCAAAATCAATAGGGGTCATCTACTGATTCATGACAAATCACCATACCAAGTTTGAAGTTCCTAGGCCTTAAGGTTCTTTACTTATTGATCGGAAACCGTTTTTGCTTACAAGGTCAATGTGACCTTGACCTTTGACCCCTTGACCCCAAAATCAATAGGGGTCATCTACTTGTCATGACCAATCACCATACCAAGTTTGAAGTTCCTAGGCCTAAGGGTTCTTTAGTTATCACTCGGAAACCATTTGGTCTACGGACCGACGGACCGACAAGTGCAAAGCAATATACCCCCTTTTTTTCAAAAGGGGGCATAATTAATTTATCATTTAAAGTTTATTCATCTCTTTAAGAGTAGGATACTTCTACTTCAGGAATGGTGACAAATGCATTTTAAATTGTCTTCAATTTGAAAGCTACTCATATACATGTTAAGTCTTTAATGCATGTGCAAGTGTGTGTGTGTGGTTTTTTCATCTTCTTTTTATTTTTAGGATTTTTAGATGAAAAAAAGAAGAAAACCATTTGGAAATTTTTCAATTCATATATATATATAAAAAATTGAAATCAAACATAGAAAATGCTTCATATTACAGGAGAGAAAGATAAAAGTATATGAACAGAGCCTATTGAATGTGTACCTTTATTTTTGTCTGACTGTATACAAAGTACAATATGTCTTATATGCTGCCTCTCACAAAGTTGTTGCCATTGTGATGATGTTTCATTTTCATATTCTACCACAAGGCTGAACTGCGCCCATGGGAAATTTTCACAAACCATCTTTGTAGGTGCAATTACACAATTATGTTTATCTAAGCTAAAACAAAGTGAAATGTACATTGAAAGAAGAGATTGTCATTGTTGACAATCATTTTAATTATCTGAAAGCTTTTATAGATTAAGTAATGTTTATGGATCTTGTGCCAATAAAGAATGTTAAAAAATGAACAATATAACATTCATACTTTGTACTAAAGTATTCTTGATCATTAGTTTTATGTTTTCGCCAGAAATTGATTATACTGTAAAAAGACAGATTGTTCTTACAATTTCATAGTTGCTGATTTAAATTTCATATGAAATCAAAGGACAATTACACATTTACATCTGACAAAAGTGAGGAATTGTAAAATCTTCTTACCTATCTATTATATGTTCTGATTCAGATGAAGACAATATGCAAGGACTTAGCAAATTACCAAGGTTTAATGCTTTTTTCAAACAACTCAGCAAACTAGGTATGTCCCTCTGTACCAGAATTAAGATCTGAAATTGACAATCAATATCAATAACCCAGAAACTGCACAGAAAAAGGAAACAAGTGGTTTCAAAAATGGACAGAAACAACATTGTATAAGTGTTACGAAAAATTCAACACTATCTGTATTATGCTTGCAAATTTCATTATAAGAATTCACAAGAAAAAGAAGCAAGAAATTTCTAAATGGGGTAAATGATATGTCCTAATGTGCTGGCAGGTACTTTATGCTGGAAAGTATTGCCTGGCAGACCTATATGTTTCCATGTAACCAATAACCCTATTTTTCATGTTATCAGTATGCTTTCAGACATGCCAAACTATTTACAAAAAACACAACCCTGAAATACTAATTTGTCACAAAAGGTAAAGCTGTTTAGACATAAATACAACTAAGTTGCTGTCGAAGATAAAGAAGTCATATAATAGCTTCTGCATTTGGTTAACAGTCAGAGTTGGCAATTTAGAACACCATCAATTTACATATCACCAATTGATAAAACTCACCTTTTGCTCTGAATCTTTTGTTTTTGCTCTCTTTTTCTTTAGCCAGGTTTCAATTTCTCTGCATAATGTCACAACTTTTGGATGATAAATTTTCTTCTCATAAAACTGTGCTTTGAGTTCAAACAAAACTTGTCTTGTGCTATCCAAATTGGCTTCAAAGTTAAAGAAAAGTAAAAAAAAACTTTATACATTCAACATATATATCTTGGCAACACAAATAAGATTTTTTATGTAAATCTTAGAGCTATACTAAAAGGATATTATACTGTGTTGAGTACAATATTGTTGATTTGTATTGGACAATCACATGATTCAAACATTGGAAGTTAGATGATGACATTTTATAAGGTGTGTGATCATTATTTACTATATCAAAATTCTTGCAATTTTAGAAGAAAATTTCTCACAGTCATTTTATTTTTTACCTCCCCCTTCTCCAACAAGATATGATTTTTTTTCTTCAAATATTAATAAAAAGAAGAAGAAAACAGTATTTTTTTTTTACAACAAGAATTCTGAACAATTCAATTTCATTTCTCATAATTAAATTAAAAAAACATCATAGGGAGTTTTCATGTTTGTATTTTGATCATTTAAGCAGTGTTCGAAATTAGCAGTAGTCCGATAGCCCCTGACTACTAAATTTCTCCTTGGGCTACCAACTTTTTACAGTAACTAGCCCGACCAGACTACTGTATTTTCAGAGGCACTATAAACAACTGTTTTGAACAAATGAATCCTGCTAGTGAAATGTCTTTTGGGCTAGTGAATATTCCAATCTGGTAGCCCGACCGGACTAGTGGATTCAAATCCGAATTTCTTACACTGTTTAAGAAATAAAAGAAATGGATATTTTCCTCTCATTACAATTCTTCAATGCTTAATATTAAGAAGTTTCTGCAGGTCTTTTTGGATCATTAATTTGAAAATTAAATGCAGCTAAAGCTGGTGCCAGGGGACATGAGAGATGTTACACTTTCCATTATCCTCTTTGTCCTGATTTTTATTCAAGATTTTTAACTTTAAAGAAAACTAGAACTATCACTAAATGTGATTAATACCCCCGCAAGACTGCTTCGGTAATGGGGATGTTACTAGTAACAGAATACCTTGTAAAAGAATTGAAATAGTTATGGTTGTGGGCAATTAAAGATAGTTGTGCTTCTTGTATGTTGCATTTTCTTTCAATGTGGATGACCATTGATGAAGTTTTATTAAATTACTCTGTAATAAGTCCAGAAAGACAAGGAAAAGGAACAAAGGGCAATAACTCTATAAATACTGAAGATGGAGTTATGGTCATTGTACACTGCACTTCCTCTCATTGTGCTTGACCATTGTATGAAGTTGTATTGAATTCCAACTACTAGTTTTCAAGTTATGCACTGGACAATAAAAAGTAACAAAGAGCAACAACTTTAAAATGAGTCAAGAAAGAGTTATGGTTTCTGTGCACTGCGCTTCCTCTCAATAAACTTGACCATGGTATGAAATAGTATTGAATTCAAACTTGTAGTTTTCAAGTTATGCTCTGGACAAGAAAAAAGCAATGGAAAAGAAACAAAGGGCAATAACCCTGGACAGAGTTATAGTTCTTGTGCACTGCACTTCCTCTTATTGTGCTTGACCATTTTATGGAGTTGTTTTGAATTCCAACCAGTAGGTTATAAGTTATGCTCCGGACAAAAAAAACAAAAAACAAGAGGGCCATGATGGCCCTGAGGTCGCTCACCTGTATATAGCCCCCCCCCCAACCCCATCCCCCCCAATGTTGCAGGGCCAATTTAACCCAAGGGCTTTTATTTGCACAAACTTGGTAGACACCCATAAGAAGATGTTTCATGCTAAACATCTAAGCTCTAGCTCATTGGGCTTTTTAAAAGAAGATTTTTTTATGTTTTTACTATACACATATAGTTAAAAACAAGGACACCCCTGGGGCCGGGCCAGTTTTGACCCCAGGGCTTTTATTTGAACAAACTTTGTAGACACTTACTAGAAGATGTTTCATGCTTAATATCTAAACTCTAGCTATTTGGGTTTTTTCAAAAAAGATTTTAAGTTTTTGCTATACACATAAAGAAAATCAATGACCCCCGGGCGGGGCCAATTTTGACCCCAAGTCTTTTATTTGAACAAACTTTGTAGACACTCACTAAAAGATGTTTCATGCTTAATATCTTAACTCTAGCTATTTGGGTTTTTTTAAAGAAGATTTTTTAAGTTTTTCCTATACACATATAAGGAAAATCAATGACCCCCAGGGGCGGTGCCAATTTTGACCCCAGGGCTTTTATTTGAACAAACTTGGTAGACACTTATTAGAACATGTTTGATGCTAAATATCTTAGCCATAGCTCTTTGGATTCTTTAAAAGAAGATTTTTTCAGTTTTACTATATGCATATAGGGAAAATCAATGACCCCCCGGGGTGGGGCCAATTTTAACCCAAGGGCTTTTATTTGAACAAACTTGGTAGACACTTACTAGAAGATGTTTCATGCCAAATATCTAAGCTCTAGCTCTTATGGTTTTTTGAAAGAAGATATTTAAAGTTTTTTCTTTCGGTTGCCATGGCAACCAGAGTTCTGCATGGAATGAAATTCTTTGAACAATTTTTAAAGATGACCACCAAAGGAACATTCCTGTGAAGTTTGGATGAAATTGGCTCAGTGGTTTATGAGGAGATGTCATTTAAAGTAAAAGTTTACGGACGGACAATGGCGAGACGCCGGACGAAAAGATCACAAAAGCTCACCCTGTCACTTTGTGACAGATGAGCTAAAAACAAGGAAAAGTAACAAAGGGCAATAACTCTGTGATTAGTCAAGATGAAGTTATGGTTCTTGTGCACTGCACTTCCCCTTATTGTGCTTGACCATTGTATGAAGTTGTTTTGAATTCAAAACAGTAGTTTTCAAGTTATGCTCCGGACAAGGAAAAGTAACAAAGGGCAATAACTCTGTGATTAGTCAAGATGAAGTTATGGTTCTTGTGCACTGCAATTCCTCTCAATAAGCTTGACCATTGTATGAAGTTATATTGAATGCTCCGGACAAGGAAAATGCAACGGACCGCTGGACCAACCACTGGGTGACTCTAAACTTAGTTTCGGGGGTATAAAAACAATATTATCTCTTGTTGTTTCAGATACGAAATATTTTCTATACTTTTTATATATCTTAATTATAAAATATCCCAAAATCAACACTGTAACTATATTTAGTTATGTTATGTAAAGGGTTCCTTACATCCAATAACATGTTTGTATTTTTCTTGCAGTGCACTCAGACATCCTATGCCTGATTCAAGGCAACAGTTGACTGTTATTTCAGATGCCATAACAAGACCATGAAGAATTACAGTCATCTTGTAGAGTTCATCAGAGGAATCTGCAACAAAACATATATATAATCCAGTGTTCAATCTAGAATGAATTCCCAGGGGCTATTTTTTTGAGAGTTCTGTTAGCAGTGATTCAGGGCTCATTTTTAAGAACTGTTACGTAGAGAAATAAAGACATAGTTTTTCAAGTATGAAACTATCACATATAAAGGATCTAATATAAATTTTGCCAGGAATGTTTGATAATAATGTTCATTTTTTTAATCAGCGGCTGATATACAGTAAAGGAAAATCATATTTTGCAATTAGCAAAAAATATTTCACGATGTTGATGAAGAATATATACTTATACACTCGCTAAAAATATTTACCCGTCTCAATATATCAACACGGAAAAAAGTATCAACAGGTGCAAAAACAAAGTACATTGACATATATACCGGTCCATTTGATCTTTTGTCAGGGCAGCAGCTTCTTACGTCACGCTTAAGATGTTTGTATTGATTAATGATATGCACAATGTTTTAGCACCGACCAACCGAAGCCCAATCAAAATTAATTCATTCAATTGTCAGACACTCCCTAGCCAATTGTGTTTGATTTAGCTTCATATCTCATAGACTTTTAATTAGAGTAAGGCGTGTTCGTAATAATGGATAGATTAAACGAAACTTACCTTCGTAGAAGGGATGTTGAAGTTTGATCCAGATTTTATCAACTGTAAACTCACTTGGGGATCACACAGAGATACAGCGTGGCTTATCAGCTTCAGTCAGTCTTTTAGAGCTATATAGCAGATACTTGCAAACAATAAACAATTGTAACAAGGATCTGCTATTTGAATACAGAATCAGAATATTCATCATATTGGGAGGGTAAAAAGGGTGGGTGTGTGATCCCCAAGTGAGTTTACAGTTGATAAAATCTGGATCAAACTTCAACATCCCTTCTACGAAGGTAAGTTTCGTTTAATCTATCCATTTTATCAACTGTATAACTCCCTTGGTGGACCCCACAGAGATTTTAGAGCTGATTCTGTATGAAGTAGGAATCAAAAGTAATTAAAAACATGTATGATTCAATTTCTTCTTTTTATATTCCATGCATACAATAAGATTGTTACAAACAAAGAATCTTAAGGCATCTTAAGCATTTCTGTTTTGAATGCTAGTTTGAAATGAGACATGTTTGCTTGAAATAATTGTCTTATCATAAAACTTTTGAAAAGTATTGGCATTTGTCCATCCTGCTGTTTTAATTATACTAGATATTGGAACCCCTCGTAGACGCGCAGCTGATGTTGAGGCTGCCCGTGTGCTATGGGCCCCATAGTGCTTGGCCACCCCTGCTTTAAATAATGTGAGTTTGACCCAACGTGATATTGTCTGACTTGAAACACCTTTGTGTGGTTTTTGCGTGCTTATTAAAAGTTTAGTTTCTTCTTGTCGCAAAGATTTTGTGCGTTCTAAATATTGTTTGATTGTAGTAACAATGCAGATGTTCTTGTCTTTTGGGTATGATTCTAGAATTATGTCAGGTAAATGGTGACCTGGCCTTGATTGTTTTAATAAATGATTGATTTGAACTGTGATTTGTGAACCTTCTATGTGAATGTCGTTCAGCTGGATAAGATGTAAAGTTTGACATCTTTGGGCAGTGACTAAGAGGAATAACATGCACAATTTGCATGTCAACTGAATAAGAGTTAGATCTTGTAAACTAGAAATGTAGCGTAAAACTGTATTGACATCCCATATAGTTGAATATCTAGGAAGACATGGACGTTCTAAATATATTCCATGCATAAATTTGTTTATAAGTTTGTTGCTACTAAAATCTAAGTCACTGCATAAACTCACAAAATTGTTAATGGCTGCCCTGGCCGTTTGAAAAACACTGTATTTTAGTCCTTTTTTATATAAAGTGACAAAAAAAGCTAGTATAGTATTTACAGAGGGCTTAAGAGGATTTCTCTTTTTCCCACAGAACCGAATCCACTGTTTAATATAACAATTGTACTGTTTCTTTGTAGTTTTTCTCCAAGATTTGATAATGATGTCGGCAGCTGCAGCTGGTATTCCTCTGCTTTCAAGGGATTCCCGGATAATCGAAAAACAGCTAATTTCATCTTTGTTAAGGGGTGTTTTCTCTCTGGTTTGTGATGTAGATGAAGTATTTTTTGCGGAGATGGAAGGATGTAACATGGTCCGCTGATCAGACGTAGAAGAGATGGCCACCAGACCTGTGTGGTCCACACTGGCACAACTATTACCGCTTCTGTTCCGTTTATTTCTATTTTCTGAAGCACCTTGGACAGTAAGCTGAAAGGTGGGAAAATATAATACAACATATTTTTCCAAGTTAGAGAAAAGGCGTCTATAGCATGTGCATCCGGATCCGGCAATCTTGTAACATATTTTGAAAGCTTTTTATTTAATCTAGATGCGAAGAGATCTATGTCAATATGGCGATATGTATTAAAAATCTTGGAAAACACCGTTTCGGTAAGTGACCATTCCAGGTCATCATTGAATTTTCGAGACATTTCGTCTGCTTCACAGTTCATTGAGCCTGGTAAATGTGCAGCACTTAAATGAATTTTTCTGTCTATGCACCATATCCAGATTGACCTAGCAATTAAATCAAGGTTTTCAGATTTTCCCCCAAATTTGTTGATGTAAGAGCAACTTGTTGTGTTATCCATGTAAATTCTAACATGAGTATTTGAGATATGTTTACAAAGTGATTGTATTGCTAGTTCACAAGCTTTCAGTTCCAGTACATTAATATGGAGTCTTTGTTCATCGCCTGACCACTGACCTCCAGTTTTCACACAGTTTGTTATATCTATTGCACCCCACCCACTCAACGAGGCATCTGAACAAATGGTGAGTGATGGTTCCTCCCTAAGAACTAATTTATAATTGATGGGAGTATGGACAATCCACCAGTTTATACAATTTTTAGTTTTGCTTGACAGTTTCATAAACTTATCATACTGACCCTTGTTTAACCTCAAGTTTTTGTCTTTAACTTTTTCTAAGGGTATATAAAAGAGTGGAGCATACTCCACCCCAGGCTCAGAAGCCACTAATTTGCCAATCAATTGTGCAAAGTGTCTTATCAGACATTTACGTTTATTTATTATGTTTTTGCAAAGTTCGATCAAGGTGCTTTTCCGTTCCAATGTAAGTCTTATGGTCATTGTTTCTGAGCATAATAAAAATCCTAGAAAATTTATCTGTTTTGTTGGTACTAAGACTGATTTTTCAAGGTGGATTGTTAACCCAAGTGAATCCATTAAGGTGACTGTTTTTTCAATATTTTCTAAACAAGCTTCGTATGTTTGGCCTTGAAGACAACTGTCATCAATGTAGGCTG